TGTAAAGCTTATAATCTGAGCAGAGTAATCCGCCATGCACACTACTCTCTTTTCTTTGGTTTAAAAACAGGCTTTTGAAAGGGTGAAATGACAAAAAAAGAGAAGCAATTTGTCGGAGCTGGTTCGCACCCCGCAGCCTTTCACGGCCCCGTGCCGGGCCGCACACGGTAAACCCACTGTTCCGGCCCCCTGTTTTGCCTCGCCGTTTCCCGCTAAATTGTGGTGCGGCGCCGCGGGTTTTCAACCCTTTTTGGTGAAATTCCCCGGCCCGCCCAGCTTGAGCCTTGTTCTCCATTTTTTCCCTACTTCTTTTGATGGAAACCTGATGTGTAAAGATAAAAAAAGAAATCCCCCCCAAAAAATTGGGGAAACGAGAAATTGAAAACAACTTATTAGAAATCATCCCTGTACAGCGACCCTGAAAAGCGTGAAACTTCTCGATTGTAGTGTCAAAGACCACTGCATGTTATCCGTAGACGCTAATGTACTTTTCTTACTTACACGCAACAGCCTGTGTAGCTGCAGGGTCCAAATGAAATGGATTGATATCAAAACAGTTGGGGTGTTGACAGATAGCCCCTTCCTCCAAAAAAGGAGTTGTCAACGTGTGAAATCTACGCGGACCAAAGTTTGGAAGATCCCCCGCCAATTCAAAACCCCGTTCTTCACAAGCTAATCACAGCTATGCCTGTCAGTCAAACATGGATGTCAACATGGGACTCTATGTTTGGCCAAGTTTCAGAGTTTTCTGAGACAAATTTACCAGAAAAACGGCACTGGAAAGACGCGGCAGCGGTGGATGACATTTTGGTAATCCTCCGGCCTTTCCGGAATTATCCCACGCGCGGCACCAACTCTCTGAAAAAGTCACGCGCCCTTCTTGAGAAAAAAAATTGAGTTTTTTTGCTGAAAATTTGTTTTCTTCCAACTTGAGGCTAATTTGATAATTTTTCCCATGAATGCTAGATGGATCTTGGTAATTCCTTCATGCAATTATTAATGCTCCTGGGCTACCCTCGAGTCGAAGATAATATTCGAGATGTTTTTTTTTTGTTGAGGCTCACGAGAATTTCAAAACCGATTAAATCTGAGGTGCACCTCCTCAAGGAGGCATTACGATCTTCTGGTTAGAATAATAAAAGAAGTTTGCCTTTGGGGATAAGTATCATGTATTAATTTGTTTTCCTTCCCTTTTTCGTGCCGAAGTCTGATCAAACGGAGTTAACCGTACTATTCATTTTCCCCCCAGAACGAGTAGAACAAGTTCAGAGCAACTTAAGATGGCAGGCGCCAAGTTGAAACCAATTGCAGCCTTTTGGAGGTCGTCGAGTAGCCTAGCTTGTGTTTAAACTCTCAAATGGAATTGGAAATTGAGAGAATCCAAAAATACATAAGTCCACAATTCAATTACAAAGAATATGCCACTGGTAAACTGCACAATGTCGGCGTTAGATAGATTCGGGAAGATAGTCAGAGAGATGGGGTATGAAAACAGCAAACAAGGGTGCGAGCAAAAAGTACACAAATCTATGCAATTTCAACTTCAGTTCTTATATAGACACTCAATTCCGACTAGTTCCAAGCCTTAGCCGCTGGCTACAGCTATACTAGCAGGACTTATGTTGGAGTGTACATCGGAGACGAGTACCCGATGTCAGGAACCGGTTCCAGATTATCAGTACCCGTCCGTATAAACCAACTTTACAAATTACTTAGTAACTTCTCAGACAAAAAGAAACGTTTTGAATGCTATTTGTGGGGAATTTTTAAAATAAAAACCAGGCTACATGGAAAACCAAAACAGAGTTCACGTTTATGTGTAATTTAACGCGCGACAGATGACGCTTGTGAAAGTTGCAGTTTACATCGTAAAGCTATAATGCCCTTTAGACAACTTCCGGGATTTGAATTTTGAGGTTGGGTTTCTTTTACAGGTACCCGGGTACCCGGTTCCCCTACTACCCGTACATGCACACCACTAAGCAGGATACCAGCCAGATATTGACCCAAGGTCACGAAAATGAAAGCTATGCTGGCATCAAGGTGTGACGTCATTAATTACGCTGTTTAATATAGATCTAAACCTCCATGTTGTTGAGCATGAGGTATGTGGTCCACTGATGTTTGCCAAATCAAACTTCTGAACCGCAAAGTCTGCGTCTCGAGTTAACATCCCGTGTGTGGGCAGTCGACATGGCAAACAAGATACGGTATCAATGTAGGCACCCGGTGTGGTTGCAAATTGTATGTTAGCATGGTGTCTCTGCGTGTGTAGATTTAACCACATATCACACAGTCAAAAAATAAGAAGAATGGAGCAGGGAAAAAAGGCGGGAAGGATGCCCACTGAGACGCAGACGAGTTGTTCATCCAATCGAGTTTTCGTCTCGACTTGGGTGGTTGGCACATTTGGAATGTAACAGCAACTGTTACAAAATACATTTGAAGTGACATCATTTTAAGAAGTATGTAGTCTTGGCGGGAGGGGCGGGGTTGGGACGGGGTGAAGGTGGGAGGCAATATTTCACCTGCGACGAATTTCGCTGGCAAGATTAGCAAATTATGAAAACAACTTTCAATTGTAGTGTTCGTTTAACCAGCAGAAACTTTCTTCATTCGGATAAAGAATATACAAGCGATTTTTTCTTCTTTTAATTTTAAACAAAGCGTTCACATGAAATACATTTTATATTTACGCTTTGACGTGACAAAGCGAACGAAAAACAAGCATTATCAGGACTGTGATATTAAGTTTTGTACCAGACGCTTTGGGGAAGACAGTGTTGTCGAGAAACATAATTTTAACGTATGTATCAATATCATTGTCACAAGTTGGAATTAAAATCGCTGTTTCCAATTTCAAGCAAAGACCTCTGTGGGAAAAACAAACTCACTGCACCAAGAATGGGATTTGATGGGGGTTTCAAGCCCCGAGTATCATGTTCCGAAGTGGCTAGTTAATCAACGCCTGAATTCTTCACCGGAATGTCCCCCCTTCGCATCGAGAGAGGAAGTGAACCGAGAAGGCCGTTCGATTGACGGGTCTAATTCGACTCGAAGGCCGCCATTCTCTCATCCGTCCCCGGAAAAGAAAAGGACCAGCGTGATGATGCGGTCGACTGGCCGTGTCACACGGGCTCAGTGATGCGCTCATGCGCAAGACGCCAACGCTCACACCGGAGTGACATTTGGACGGAAATAGACATTTCCAGAAAAGAAGACACAGGTCAGATCACATATCTCAGTGTCAGGACCAATTAAATCTTACTTGCTCTAGAAGAAATGCTTTTGTGACTTAGTTCGTGCATAGATGGTTCGTAGGCCGATTTCTTGAGTCAATTTGAGACGCACATGTAATTTTAAGGCATGCATCTAGCAGTAACGAATAGGATGCGATGGTACAAAACCACACATAGGCCTGCCCTCCGTTTTTCTTTGTATTGTTGGACCAGAATTTTGGTTTTGAGAATAGCATTTTCAATCTGTACGGTTCGTGTACGACGGCACGGACGTTTCCCTCTCTTTTAATAAGAAAAGAAAAGCAACAAACTGCGAAACAGCCGCGTCTGGTGCAGAGAACGGGTTGTATATTTTGGTGTGGTTTTGCCAAAACACTGTTGCAAATTTCATGTGTCAATTTGATCAGCGCTGGATTTCACAGCGGATTACGATTATCCGGCCGATGAGCGCTTTGTGCGTTGTGTGATCGATGCGGGGCTGCAGAGTAGACCCTGGCCAGGAATTGTGCGATCTCGCGACGGGGGTACGCGGTGTTAAGGGTCGGCCCATCCACTCTTCCGCTGACTGGTCGTCAAAAGAAAGCCGGAAAAAACCCTAGTACCAAGGACACCGTGCCTGAGACCCAGACTGGCCGATTATGCGCTCGATTGCACTTGCAGTTTTACGGACTTGCAGCAGAAATCAGGGAGTCGATTCTTACTCAAGGTCTCTTAATTTTTTGCCGGTTGCCCGCGCAAAGAAACCCATGGATGTTGACACTTTAAAACTCGAAATTCAGAGATCTGATCCAACCACAATTTAATCAATGAAAAGGTGCCAGCAAATAAGATGAGTATGGCGTTCCAGCGTCATTTTTTTCTCTCTCAAAAAAGTACGATAATTTGGGTAGGTTATAAGTTAAAAGGCATAAACCCACTTCAGTCGTTTGTCTTTTAAGAAAACGGGAATGTATTCAGAAATGGGTCCACACACGGAGCAGATTTCAATTAAGAAATTCATGATTCAGAGTAGCTCTTAGATAATGATGCACAAAAACACACAAGCTTTTTTGGATTGGTTGCCAGATGCGAGGGTCAGTTATACTTCATGACAGGTCAAGACGTTAGGGCCGGATATGGTTCTCGCTTTGTCTCGGAACTAGTGCCAATCTTGTGGAACAAACAATTTTTCTAGCACAAAAATGTCTCGCACCGGGAGAGACTTGGCACGATTTGCCGGTTTTGAGCACATCACTTTAGCCGAGATAATGCCTGTTTCTTCCACCATCATTGGCTGGGATGAAGAAATGTTGTTGAAAAGGTGCTGGTTCTGTCAACATGCGTCATAAATTATTTTCAGACGCACGCCACGTTTACTCCAACTATATACCACCTGTGGTCACTTCATGTCAACTACAGCCAGAACTAATAACATACCATGCATTACAAACGTCAGTTTGGTTTTAATTTTTTTCATCTGAATATTGATAGGGATTTTCGAAACCTCGCCTTCGTCTCGGACTTCGGCTCCATCCATCCATCCATCCATCCACAGTTTCACCTCTGTCTTCGATTGAAAGCATTAAAAAGACTTAAGTGTTTTAAAATAACCACCCCCCCCCCGTTCAAAAAAGCTTGCTATTATAGGATTGATGTTCCTGAAAACATGGACCAATATTGACCTGGGATCTCCCAAGTTAGGCGCTTAAAATCTCCTTGAGCCAAAGCCGGAGACTAAAACTAGGTTTCGAAAACCCCTCTAGATTCCAAAATGCAACTCACCCTCCGGCCAGCCTCGTTATTGTGCAAGTTACTCTTCATTCGTGCGTACATGTAGGTCCCCCGGGGTGCGTTCGACTCCTTCTCCCGAGCGTCCACGAACTCCTTAGCGAACCTGTATCCGTAGTCCACGTTATCCCCGCAGCCTCCCCACACCCAGTCCCGGTCCAGGTCCGGGGGTCGCGCCGCCCGGCTGCAGCCGCAGGGAGATAGCTCCCCCTCCCGGCAGGATCGGCTGATGGCGTTCACCACCCCCGCTGCGGATATGGCGTAGGTGAAAGCAGCCTCACGACTTGCTGTGGTTGCGATAGGAGTGGTTCCCCCAGAGTTACACACAGAACGGAGCAGTTGATTGGTTGAAAGTTCGGTGACGTATTGGTGTTGTATGAAATAAGAAGAAACAACGAAAAATTAACAATGGTCTACACAATAAGGTTATAATGGTGACTGGTGGGTTTTTTTTAGAACAGAATGGGCGAAGACTGAACAATGTGACGGTTCTATCCGTCAATTTTGGAGTTAATACAGTATTCAAATCGTCGACGTGTGTGGTGCAGATGTGTAAGAGACAGCACGTGACGTTGACCCTCACATTCTTGGCAGTTACTTTGGCCCAGTTCATAACATTAGAAACAAACATGGAGAGGCCTTCATTAATAATACATTGTCATGGCGTGCAAACTGCAAGGTTAACATTTTAATCTTGAAATCGAGATATACATGTATTTCTATTAAACATTTAACCCTCATATACATTATACATGTCTCTAAGAGATGTATGTATATCAGGGTTAAATGTTAAATTTGCACGCCATACGTTGACGTTAAAACAGTGATATTGCCAGATATACTACAATGGCACTGTAGGACGCAGCATAGGCCTATGGCACGCAAGTGGATGAAATGTGTTTGTTTCAAACTTTTCTAAATCTAGTCGTAATCCATCAGTCACGGCGAAAAAATGTCTTGGCAAACTTCAAATTTTCTTCCGCGACGGGACTCGATCCAGACGTGCACCGTGACAGGTCCGACTCGACGCTAATTGCTCTTGTCAGACGAAGTTGACGGCCGAAGAGAACGGCATGCACTCAGTCATATCCCGCGTCAACATTCGCGCCGGAACAATGACACCGTACTGTCCATCAAAATATGCTTCGTGTCACAATACAGCTGGAATTCAGTTGGCCGATGCTGCCCCAATCCATCACGCAGTCCCGCCACATCCATTCTAACATGTGGATCCAATTTACCGAACCTCCCGAATCTCCAAAACCAGATTTGTTTTTTTTTTCAAACGGCGGGATATGACTGTCAAAAGTCCAAATTAACTGTAACCTACTTCAATATGATATCTTCATCTTATTTTCTTCAACTATAAACTCAAGTTTACTCAACTCGTGTTTCAAATCAGTAACATACATCAGGTTCGATTACAGCGGGCGTTATGGAGAGGAACGGTATAGACATAAATACGATAACTCTGTTTCAGGTTTCTTGGTAGCTTCGTTGTCTATTGATGAATAAAAATTGTAACTTTTTTTGAACAGGAATATGATTATCCGAAAGTCATGTTTTCTTGTGCAATACAAGCTGTTACATAAATGCACTACCTCATCACCACTTTTCGTAAACTTTAGATCCCGCCAGACTATATATAAAAATTCCCTGATGAAGATCTTGAAAATTGCATCTAATTCAGAAGTGCTCGTTGCTACGGGAGCTTATGCATTATTTTCGTTAGTCATTAAAGTGCTACCCAACTTTTCCATACAAGAAGTCACGTGCAGCGTTATATGATTGCTGGAGTGAGGTACCACATCAAATACAATCATGTACGATACAGCACAAGACAGTGTCTTTCATTCAAGTCCGAGTTGATTAAGGATCAGGATTACGGTCAAAGTTAGTACAATCAGGTAAAATGTTTCTGCGGTGTGATTTTTTTTTCTCAGAGAAAAATATTGTGGGAAATTAAAGAGGCGTGAGATGAATTTTTCTTAGTAACACATTTTGACATCTTTCTACTCATCTGAAATGTATGAAAACTACTTGGCATCCCTTTTTGGTTAATGTTATTGAAAAGTGCACTTCTTTAAAAAATTGTCCACGCTTTTCCGGACAACTGAGGGCGCTGTTGCTGTGATGTCATTTCAGGAAGACACTGTTTAGTTTAGGTTTTCTGTACAAATTGTGAACCCAAAAATTTGCCCATTGAAAATATTTGTAGGAAGAGTTTGCTCATTGGCTTACTGCCATCATGGTAGGCTATAGGCTGCTGACACAACAACGAATCGCCAAAGAAAAGAAAATTGACGACAGCAAAACATCCAATATTCTGGCAATTTTTGATGCTGAAATAGCTCATACATATATGTAAATTCGCATTGGCATAAAAACCAAAAAAGGCACCAAAATACCCTTGAAATGGCAAAACGATCGTTGAAAATACGATTAAATGGGGCACAAATGTGCATTTTCAAAGATTGCACTAAAAAAATTACATTGCATGGGTACTTAAATCATGCAGCTTGAAGACAGTTTCGGGTATGACAACAGAAAGAAGGCCACAACCCAATTGGTTTAATCTAGTTACGACAATTCCTCGCCATACGCAAGAAACTTCAGAGATTTCAATGTTATTTAAAGCTTGGTCTCTCCAAAATGTACTTCTTAATCGTATTGCGCATGTCTTACTTACATCGAAACAATAAAGGGCAATAGTTAAAAACAGTCAGGATGTGGTTCATATAAAGGCAAACCCTCCTTATGTATAAAACCAGCTTGTGATTGCTGGTTGTAGTGAGGTAAATAAAGTCGAATTTAATGCGGTATTTTTTGAACGTACACTAACCACACCAAAACGAACACAACACGAACAGGCAAATAATCAAACTACATCGTTACATCAAAATGAACAAGCGATGACCACACCGCACAATGTAACCAACATAGCACGGCCACCAAATACAGATTAACTCTTTAATTTCCTAAATCCACACCGATTGTACTCCTTAATCTCCTCAGTCAACAACATAAAGAGGTGGGTGAGGATTAATAGGATTATCCTGGTAAGGGATATATAGCGGCATTAATTATGCACCAGGTTTCTTTCTTTTGTTCGGGGATTGCGGATAATAGCCCCGTAATCGTTTTTCACAGCATGCATTGTTTGCTTGTCGCTCTCAGGTAAAGAGGTTGCGCGTATGGGAAAGCGGGCACGGCACCATTGTGTGTACATGCCACATAGGACAGTGCACACACGCAACATCGCTGTGTACATGTACATGTACATAAACTTTTCGATACATTATACAGACACAGTCTCCTAACAGCAAAACGATACGATCAGCATGAACCATTTGCTTACTTTCTTCTTGAACCATTTTGGTGTAAGACGAAATTATGATGTATCTGAATGTGTAACAGGGACCCTAGACTATCAAATAACGTGTGTTCGAGCTATATCGTTCCAGAATCTAATTTTCCAGTTTTATCGAATCTTTCAATTTGTCATGTCAGATACATGGGTCACCACATGCAGGGGCATTGAATTCAAGATCATTTGTGTTGGCTTAAAAATGTGAAAATCGTTAGCTATACAGCTGCTACATGGTCCACAGTAAATATACAGCCCGACTCAATTCAGACGATGGTTCTTTGAAATTCCAAATGCCCACTTCCTCCACCTTGTGCATATTCAATATGTCATGGTCTTCAACTTCGGGTTTCACCGAAGTATTTCAAACATTGTATACTCAGTGTTGTCCGGGGGCTTGAGAGAAAAAGTCACAGGCTTACTTAGGTGGGACTCGAACCCATGACCTGCTGTTAACTAGTGCAGACGTCTTACCACTCGACCACCGAGCTTGCCGGGGTCAGCTTGTTGGTTCGGTGGAACGTTACATCGGGAGATGTAAAACATTGATTTTGCCTCATGGACTAACCGTATAAAGTATTGTTGAAATCCGAGAGTTTGTGAGAAAAATCCACAAGCGAACCCGATCAATTCTTGATTTTTGCTTTCGCAAAAACTATTCAGGCGGATTTATTAGCTAGTCTCAACACGTGCAGTAGATTATAGTCGTGGATGGAATATGGGCCTCTAGCATACAAGTCACCTTCGAAAAAAAAAACCCGCCAAAATACCAGACTCTTAAAATGAAATGAATTTATGAAAATCGAGACACAAATGCAGAATCCGCTCAGCGGGGAATGTCGGAGTTCACAGCACGCAATCACGATAGCAAAATGGGTTCATTTTTCCTTGGTAAGGTGGTATGCCTTGAGGCTATTAAGGTGCATGTTACCAATTCGAGCCAAAATTGCCTACACGGACCACTCTCTGCACGTACCTGATCCTATTTAACCATTACTTTGTTCTTAACATAAATTGTTAGAGATCAAAATATGAACCACAAAGGGAAACTGACAAGATACATTTTTTAAAGTCTGGAGGGTAATGGTTTGTTTCGCTAAAAGATCAGGCAAGAGCACACCTTATGTGCATAAGTTGTTATAAATTTAAAATAGGAAAGAATACCATCGGAGACATCCGCAATGCATAAGGTATATCATTGGTTTTTTTTTAACATGCCATATTTTCAATGGGGAGCGCCAATAAAATCCTAAAATCATTCACACTATATTAACTACAAAATAATGCACCCTTGTCACGACTATTTCTTTAGGGGGAGACCGTTCGCATGTACATCACAATCCTTCTTTTGCTAATGCTATTTTTTTTTACGGAATTTTTTTTTTTGGGGGGGGGGCTAGACAATTTTTTTTTTTTGGGGGGGGGGCTAAAGCCCCCCCCCCAGCCCCCCGTAGAACCACGCCTGATTGTGGCCTCCTGTGTTGTGACGAAAGGTCAGCAATAGGCTTGGAAATAACAGCAAGCAAGATAAAAGGATTGATTTATGAACAAAGGATTAGCGAGATAACGTTAATAGCCGGGTCAACAAAACATTAACACCGTAACCTACAAACATCAGAGATAACCGTGGAAGGTATCTTCTTGTATCCAGGAACTAGACCTAGTATGATTTGGCATGGCTCCTAAAAATGTGTAAACTTAGGCCCTCTTTCTGTGTTGTTTTCATGGACATCCAAAAAAGGCAGAGCAATTACAGTCTTATGTCTTTTTAGGCTGTACAGCTCAAGTTGAAAGACGCCTGAAGTTATTTAATTAAAAATTTAATTTGGCAGCCATGTTGGTAATTTTGAATAAAATATTCAGTGGTTTCATTTCCAAAAAATAGTGATTCGTCAACTTTTCTTTTCGTTTTCTGTTCAG